GCAATGGATCAACATGCTTTTTCTAACGCTTTTCTTTTCCATAAAATGCTAAATATATTCTACATAAAAATTAGCTTAATAGAAACCAATAATTATTTATCTTATTCGGCGCTCATTACGAGCCACTGATTGCATGTTTAACCAAACTATATACTCAGTAACTAGGTAAAAATAGATAAAATATATGAACACATCGCATGCAGAATGTAAAAATAAAAATTATATTTTGAACTATTAATAAATTATTTAATAATTGAATTTTATGTCAAAACGATCAAACTAAATTTGTTGATGTTTGGAGCACTGGAAGTGTACGACAAATATTAAAGGAAAATAATTTTCAAGCTTTAAACAACTAAAAACTAGATTGAACAAAGAATAGAAAAATCTTTGTAATAATTAGCAAAATTTGTAAGAGACTTGACGAACTAATAAAAATTCGTATATAACAAATACGTGATAGTTAAATGAGATTTTTATGTAATCAGATTAATATAAGAATATTTTTCGTTTTTCCTTTAAATAAAATATCATATTGATCTACAGCAAGAAATTTATTCTCACATTCTTATATTTATATTTGTATTATTAGAAATCGTTATTCTCTACTTGCATATAAACTGATTTTATCGCGCCTGAAGACCTATCAAATACCCTATATTTTGTTAGACAGTCGAATACTCTATAGAATGGACTATTGACATGTTTTTTTAAAATTATATTCAAAATATTTTCTTTTCTGTCTACATGCTCTGCCAACAATGATATTTTCGTTTTATATATCAGTCATAAAACTCAATGATAAGGTGTATTAGAGAGTTGAAATTTTGTATAAATTTGAAATAGTTATAAAGAATATAACATATAAAAATATTGTTCGAATCAATTAATAATAACAAAAATTATCTGTCAAATATCATTAAATTTTCAATTGTATTAAAAAAATTACAATATGCTCATATATATCATTTATATCTTTATAGAAAAGGAAGAAAGTTCTAATTTTTGCATTCTCGTATCAGATTATGAAAAGTCTCAAGTGTTAATACTTTAAAAGATAAAAACAAAAATTTATCTTAAATCAATTTTTAGATCACCATATGGAAAACCAGTTGATATTTGGGCATGCGGATGTAATATGATTGATTTTACTAATGTTCGAAAAACAAAAATTGTTTTTTTTTTGCCTGTAGGTATTATGGCGGAACTTACTACTGGTCAAGCATTATTTGGTAATAGATATCCTATTTTTATTAAACATTTTAATTTTTATTTAAATAAAATTTTCAGCGGGCGAAAGTGATATTGATCAATTGTATCGTATTCAAAAATGTTTAGGACCATTACCAGCTAAATATATGGAAGCAATGAAGACAAATCCTAAATTTGATGGATTAAAAGTATTTGAAAAAATTGTTTTTTTTTTGTTACAATAGTTCAATTAAACAAAACCTTTATAATAGTTTCCTCCTATTCATCAGTTGGAAACTTTAGAACGACGTTATGGTCATTTATTTCCACCTGATATAATGCATTTATTTAAAGTAAAACATTTCATAGCTGTTTATTATTAGTTTATATAATTTGTATTTTTGTTTTTATAATAGGGAGCTTTACGTTTATTTGCTGCCGATCGTTTAACAGCTGAAGCATGTATTCAACATGAAGCATTTGTTTATTTGAATCAGAAACAACAACATCAACAAAAACGTTTACAACGACAACAACATCGACCGTATATAAAATTATGAGCAAAGAAAAAACAAGAATTAATTTTCTTTTTATATTTTCCTAGAAAAACTGTTCTTGCTTCTACAAGTACATCTCAAGGACAACATGATCATAACAATGAAATGGTACATTTTGCTATACCATTTGTTGATAGTCGTTTAAGTAGATGGTATATCGAAAAAAAAAACAAAAAAATATTTCATTGAAATTTAATAATATTTTTATTTTTCTCATTAAAAAAAAA